GGTTAGTTGTCGGTTTTGCTGTCGCCGCTGACGACTTTGCTCCTTCCCACTCTCTCTTACTCCTTTGTTATTAGTTATGATCCTCCTCGTCTCTCCCTCTTCCCCCTCTTCCTCCCGGCGTCGTGGACGCTGGCCTCTTCCTTCTCCCCCTTGTCCACCTCCTCATCCTGCTCCTCCTCCGTAGCTGTTTTGGCTCAAGACTCCAACATTCGGTGCCCGTAGGCTATCGACGGATACCGCTTGTCCGCGGCTCTGTCAGGATCCTTTCCATCCTCGCCCTTCTTTTTCACTCGCTCACCTCCATGGCTTGCGCGGCCCAGCCCATAGTGGCGGAACAATCATGGGATACAATGGCAAGAGCACAAGACCCAGAGGCTGCTGGAGACGCCAAGCATGCTGCCAACCAAATGCCCGCAAATCATCAAACATAATTGCAATCACTTCTTCAGGGGCAAGTGGACGCAGCCTCGACAGCGCCCGCTGAGACGGCAACAGTAAGCATGCGCCGATTCTCAAGCTCAATTCTTTGCTACTATCACCAAGACCGCGGCGGAACTCACTTGCCGACAAGAGTGTGCAGAACGCAACATCTCCGGCATCAAGACACGCGCTGACAAAGCTGAAGCCCTCAACCAGAGCCTCCCCGCCGCCGTCGCCGACATCAAGCGCGCCTTCGACGCCGCCGAGGCCATGCACCCGCCCATCAACGCTGACTCCACTGGAAACTGGGACCGCCGACCTCACGTCGGTGCCTTCTGGTGTGGCGCTGCTGCAGAGTTGAACGCCACCGCCCTCAAAGCCTCTCTTCTAGCAGGGTTCGCCGTGGCCAACGTTGACAGTAATGCAATCACGCTCAATTCCAACGGTTCTGGCAAGTGCGTATCCTTCACCTTCACTGGCGGCGACCTCGCTGCTCTTCTGGTGCTCATGAGTTGCACGAGGCGCGCCGCATCGGCAAGGGTTGGCGCTCCTTCAGCATCGAGACCTCCCAGAGACCCCAGCGCCTGTCCATCTCCACCGACAAGTTGCCGCGCATGAATCGGGAAAAAGTTCAGCTCAAGGAGCTCAGCATGCTCATGGCAACCACGTTCCAGCACATGCTTCCCAGGATGCACCGCACTCAAGGACATTTGTATCTCATCGGCACGCCCATCGTTCGAGTCACCGGAGGTGCCTCAACCGACTGGGCGTCCAACGTTCGCTGGTCTGACGCTGCTGAACCTGTTGGCATTGACGGCGTTGCTACAAAAACAGCTCGTCTCCGAGTTCGGCGCCGCCTTCGCAGACCCATCGGCGTCAGTGTCGTGGCTTTGACGCTCGGTGGTCTCCATGTCTCACGCGTCCTTCCAGGGACGGTTCGGGCATCGTGTCGTGGAGTTCCCAAGCTTTGCTCGGACGCCTGGCAGCCAGACGTGACGCCTCGAAAGCGATGCTACTTCCGTACGCCTGCGAGCAGTCACCGCAATCGAGGAGTCGCACGGCAAAGGAACCGACCGAGCTGTTCGCCGAGTCTACGTCGCACAACTACTTGTCCTACGACTCCGCGTTCACGGGGAACTCCGAGACCGCGGGCGGTGCCGCTTTCTGAATATCCTTCGACAGCCGCGAGCTCTAACTTCATGCTCACCAGCGCCTCGCGCGCGACGTCTCCGAGATCGCCCGTGGCCGCGTCGCCGAGATCCGCATTCAGAATGCCTCTCGCCAGTGCGAGACTACAACCTTCACCGTTCACAACCGCGCTCTCGGCCACAGACGGAACCGGGTTTGGCATCGGGCGGCGCTTAGCCCGTCTACCCGGGACCTCCCGCTCATCGGCGACTCCAGTGTTTCCAAGCTGCCTCCGGAAAGTTTGCAGAGACCCGTCGATACCAGCGCCGCCGCCCGATGCCAGCATCATACGACATGCTGGAAGCAAATCTTAGGCTCCGTCGTGGAACTCCGAGCAAACCGAGGCCACCATAAAACGCTGCTGCATCTCAACAAACGCGCACCACTTCCCGCATGTCGAGGCCCATCTTACCTGCGACAGCAGCCCGCTGGAGCGGCCGGGCGAACCTGCTTGCGATCATGAGGTTGTTTTGTATTCGCCTAATGGCCCAGGAGACCCCGGGAGAGCGACGCATTCCCGCATTCACTTCGACGTTTTGCACAACGAGCAGTGGTGCGCTCATTTCCCGAACGACGCCGACATCGCCTGGATGGACCCCCCGTCGGAGATATCATCAATATCATCATCAATATCCCCCCCGTCGGAGAGCATAGACAACAGCGTGAGCATCCATGGAGAAGCGCGGGCATTGACGCTCCGCGACGTAGCGCGTGCTGTGTGGTTCGGTGGCGCGCGCCTCTTGAGGTTGCTCGTCTCTGAGCAATCTGCGCCCTCGTCCACTCCGTCGCGCTCAGCGACGCTGACGCCTTCGCCAGCAGCCCCGCAGTCTCTGACTCTCGCCGGCAACTAGCCGCCGTTCGCTCACGCGCCGCCTGCCAGGAGAACGACCGCCAGCTCGGAGACAAATGCAGGCAGCTGGCTCGCAGCGAAGGCCAGCGCTGGAGCAGGGGCCACCGCCGCCAAGTCCGTCGACATCCCCTAACCAGCAGCTCGACTTGGGCGGCGCGTTTCCTCCGCGGCCAGCTCCACCTATTCACCTTCAATTGCCTGGACCGCAGGATCTTTGTGAAGCAGCGCGCGAGGCAGGCGACTCTGCGCCTGGACCTGCCGGGCTGCCCTGCCGCGCCTGGCTCGCATCACCCGACTGCATCGAGGCGCTCGCCGACAACGCCTCCTCCATCGCCCACGGCGGCCCTATCCCCATACAGCTTCAACTTCTCACTCGGGGCTCGACCTGAACGGTGTTTTGCTGGACTTCGGCCGTGGTCTGTTTTTTGTTTTGGGAGGGAGGGACACGAAAACAGGAGAGCACAACGAACAACAAAACGAGAACAAAACGAAAGACGACGTTTAGGTCCAGCCCCGTTCTCACTGATGACCATGCTCCCGAAGGGCGACGAGCCGAGGGGGCTTGGGCGCGGAGGCAGGACGAGGTCATGCCGAGGCGGGCCCTCCTCGCGGCAGCCAGCAGCGCCCACGCACCGCCTACGGCGGCCGCCAGCCACCCAGACTCTTCTTTCCCTTCTCCTGCTCCGTTTTCCACTCTCCTTCTCCATTCCCCTCCTCTCCTTCTCCATCCTCCTCTCCTCCTGCTTCTCCATCCTCCTTTCCTTCTCCTCTCCTTCTCCATCCTCCTCTCCCTCTCCTCCTCCTTCTCCTCCTCCCTTGTCCTCGTCCTCCTCCCTCCCACCCCCTGGGGGGGGCTCTGCCCGAGGGGGCGACCCACGGCACCCTGGCATCCATCGGCTTGGAAAACTCGGCTCGAAGTCCGGAGTCTCGGGTGTTTGGACGCTCCTGCTGGTCCCCAGGGAGGTTTTCTCCAGCATCGAGGTGTTTTTTCCCTCCTCTGCGCCTCGCCGAGAGCGTCCCGGGGGTGCCCGGGTTGTCCCAGGCGGTCGCCGGTGCGTCAGGGCAAACGAGCAGGCGCCAGCAACATCGAAACTCGAGCAGAACAAACGAACAAACGAGCAGGCGAGCAGAGCAAACTAGCAGGCGAGCAGAACAAACTAGCAGGCGATTAGAGCAAACGAGCAGGCGACTGACGGCGGCAACGACGAAGCCCCGGTTGTGACCCGACAGCCATATACATCCAGCGTCTTGCAACAGTTCCGTGAGGCGGCTGGTTTTTTTTGCTTTCGGCTTCCAGAGGCCCTCACGGGGCCCCAGGACCACAATTTCACCAGAGAAATTCCCAGTCAGTGGGTGGTTTGAAAATTAGTGACACGGATATTGAGATCGAACGTGAGATTCTGAGGACGATCGTAAGTTCGGTCGTGAGACCGATAGTGAAGTCGATTCAGTGAATTTGATAGTGCGGTCGATCGTGAGATCGCTCGTGCGATCTATCATGAGATCGACTGTGAGATCGATAGTGGGATCGATGAAGAGGCGGGTAATGAGACCGATGGTGGGGCCGATCGATAAGAACATCCACCAGGAACTTGGGAACCGAGAAATACGGGAACCCCGCCGCCCACCGAAATCGGCCTGGAATCAGCAACAGGGAACCCGGAAACCCGGAACTGGGAACCCGGGAACCCGGCCGCTTACCGAAGTCGGCCCGGTATTTTCGCCAAGTCTTTCAATCTCCGCCAGGACCCCTTCAGTGCAAGCACTGATTGGGGAATAAAGTGTTCGGGACTAGAATCCGGCCCCACAAAAAATGGGAGCTGGTCGGGACGCGCGTCGGGGCGCGGGAATCCGGCCCCCCATGATTGGGAAGAACACGCGGGGGGGCCAGGATTATTGAAGAATTTGAGACAAGAACTCGTAGGGGATTCGCAGCGGCCGCTTTGGGTTCAGGGCGTTGTTTGCGTACGCTCTCGCGTTTGTCCTCCGCGCCTTGGCCTCCTTGAGCTGCTCGCTTTGGCTCGCCTGGGCTTCAGCGCGATCGTCACGTGCGATGGCAGTTTCTGCTGGCTCAGCTGGTGGTGCAACACTGCGGAGGAGGAGGAAGTCCAACACTGCAGCTTGCCTGCGCACGCTCGCCAACGCTGCCTGCGAGCTCGGCGCTTGGAAGGCCCTCGTGCGTGCGTCGATCGCCCATGAATCCGCGTGGCCTCGTTAATTGCCGTTCCTTCCTCTCCTCTTCCTCCTGTTCTCTCTCCTCCTCCCTCTCCCACTCCCTCTGCTCCTGTCTCTCCTCTTCGCGGGCTCGGATGTGGAGCGCGCAGGTCTCATACTACGTATCGTCGTTCCTTGCACCGCAATGCTCCGTAGCCATTTTGGCTCGAGCCCAACTTGGGGTCCAAGTGAGACTGTTTGCTGCGGCCCAGATCTGCCCTCGCGACCGTCAGCTCAATGACCTCCAAGCAGCCGCTGCACTCCAACAGCGAGACGCAGCGCGTCTCCGGCTGCCCCCCAGAGAAGCTGCATTTGCCTTGTGACCTCTATGGGCTGTTCAAGTGTCTCACGCCATTCCGCCGACACCCAACAGACAGGACGAGTGTAACATTGGCTGCGCGTTTTCTTGTCTGAGTTCTGTAGAGCGCAGGAAGACGACGAGGAGCGATATGATGAAAAGGAGGGGCAGGGAGGTAAGGGGGAGGGGAGGAGGGAAGAGTTGTCAGGATGCTGTGAAGTCCTTGTGCACATGCTCTCAGTGCTGAGCCCTCGGTAGAGACATCTTTGGAGTGAGGGGGGCATGTGTCGGAAATGTTGTGGTATGTGGGCCTTGCGAATGCAGAAGGGGGGATGATGTGGAGGCGAAGGAGGAATTTGGGGAGATGAGCAGGTTGAGGCGGACGAGAGGGAGGAGGAAGCCGAGCAGTGCTGCCGTAGTTGGAAGAATGGAGGGGAGGGGCGGAAGGAGCATGAGCCTTGAATGGCGAACACCCGTGCTCCATTCCGACATTGTCGGCGGCAGGAGAGAGAGGAGTAATGCACCGACCCGCAAGGATATCACGGCAGGACCCCCCTGGACACGTGCTTGACAGACCCCCCCCCGATGATAAAGCATCCCCCCTTATTTTTTGTATCCTTTTATCCACGGGATTGCATGTGGTTCGATTGCCACAGCAGGCGAGGAGGCCGAACTTGTTCATCCCCTCCAAAGTTCCAATCGTAGCTCTGATCTTCACCTCATGCATAGCACCATGAATAATCCTTATTACCATGCTTGGGGGATGTCTCAGGCGAAACGCCGTCTAGAAGGATCTTGGAGGGTTTTGACGACCGAGCTTGAAGGCCGCTCCAGACATCCTAACATCGGTATCTCCGGTACATCAATTTTTAATCCCGCCTGGACCCCGAACTTTACTATCATCCCCAGGGGATCATTCTCACCATCATGGGGTTATTGGTCCTGTCTTGTGGCCCTCGCGGGGCCCTGTGGGGAGGTTCAGGGGCCCTCGGGGCCTCTTGTGGCCATCCGTGTGTCCCTTCTGGGGTCTTTGGTTCTTTGTGGAGGGGTCTTGGGCCAGGTGTGGAAGGCTTGGGGCCGTCTTGGGTCAGTCTCGGGCTTTCTTGGGCTCTTTTTCGGGGCCGTCTTGGAGGGCAGCCCGTAGCCTCTGGGGCTAGTTGCGGCCATCTGCAGGGGTATCTTGGGCAAGGCTCCAGGACCCTTCGGGGTGTCATGAAACAGTGATTTGGGCGGTCCGAGCTCTCTTTTGGGACCTCTCTCGGCCTTCTTGGGGTCCCTCAGGGTCACTTGGGTTATTCTCGAAGCCTCGTCGGCGTGCTGGAGCCTGTCTGGAGCCGTTTTGGATGGCATCTTCGAGGCAGCGGAGGGTGGATCTGGGGGTGGATCTGGATGCTCGGAGGGCCCGAATGGATCTGGCTGCTCGGAGGGCCCGGAAGGTGGGTTAAGGATCTGCCCCCTACTTCTGAAGCCCCCCCCCCAAAGTAGTATCGAACATCAGGGGCCACCCCCATGGGGAAGAAAGAAGGGGGGAGGGGGACAGCCAGGCACCTCACACGCAGTCTCACCTCCGGCCTAGCGGAGGTCGGCGCATTCGTGGCAGAGCCGCTGCAGCTCGATGCGAGCGTGGACGGGTGGACGCTCATCTTCCTGGTGATGACCAGGGCGTTCTTCTTCATCTCGGCGGCGAGCGCTGGGGGGGGGGGGGGCAAAGCGGGAGAGAGAGAAGGCTCTCTCGGAAGGCGGGGGCACTTCTCAGAGGCCCTCGCACCTTCAGAGAAGTCCTCTGCGTCTTCGGGGGATCTCAGAACACTGCTCAGAAGGCCAGGGGGCTCCCGAGCCTTCTGAGAAGGCCCGCCGCTTCTCACTTCCCCCCCGGGCGAGCGCCGCCGCTCATCGCGCTGAATTTCCTGATCCAGCTGCTCTACGTCGTCAAGATCCACCGCTTGAGCGTGGAGCTGCAGGCGGAGCCGCGCGAGCAGGAGCGCTTCTACATGCAGGTGGTCTGCGTCTTCGTCTTCGGCATTTCGATCTTCCGGGAGCTGCGCGACTGCATCGACTTCCTGGCGCTGGTCGTCAGGTGCCCCATGGGGGAAATGGATCCTGAGGGAAGCTGGTCCTGCTGTTTTTCGCCGTTTTCAGGCTCTCGGGGCCAAGCCAGGATAAAGATATCTTCCTGGAGAAAGGTCCCTGGGTCCAGGACCCGTTTCCCTCAGGACCAGTTTCCCCATGCGAGCAGGTGCCCAGTGTCCCGTGATGGCGGTTACCGTGGTATCGGCGGCGGATCAGACGGGTCGCACCGCCACGGAGCCGTGCTGTCGCAGGAGCGCTCGAGCGGAACGTCCGGCATTTTGAGTTGGGCCCGGAGGAGGTCCAGCAAGACTCACGTTTGGACCTTGGGCTCTATGAGTTACAGCTGGAAGGTGTTCTGACAGTCAATATTGCCATGGGAATGAATGCCAATGACATCGTAACATCATCAGACCTACATATATGCAAATAGTTGCATCGTATAGAGGATAGTCAAACAAAAACATGGGTGTGCCCATCGACTGACATGGAGCAGGGTCAAAATTGGCACTGTCAAAAGTGATACGGTCTGATACCGTCCCGCGCCGCCGGTTGTGGCCCACCATGTTTCGAAGCGACACGCTGTCCACGTCCCCATTTCCAAGCGTCAACGGCTCGAGCCTTTCGCCGCCTCCCGCCCCGCAGAGCGGAGCGACAGGCTATCCGCTTGCAGGGCATAGCGTATCGCTGGGGCCGCCGCCGCGACGCGCTAAGCAAAAGTGTTCAACCGTAAAGTTTATCAGTACGATTTATCCCGAATCCTAGAAAACTAGCGCCTTGGCAATATTGGCCTTCAGGTGGTGTGTTTTCTTTTCGTTGGCATGCCCCGGATCATGTTCTGCAGCCTCTTTGCGAAGGTTGGAGCGGGTTTCATCGTGCGCTCCCCCGATATCATCATCGACACCGTAGGTGTATTATTCGTGGTGGAAATAGGGACTTTCATGTACAACGCGTTCACCACAAACGCAGTGAAGCAACAGCTGGAACAGCTGCAGCCGATCGAGTGGTACCCCTCGAACGCGCGGCGGCTCGCAGCTTTCCTGTTTGTGAACTTCGCCTATCCCGTGCTGCTGATCTGCTTCAGCGTCGCCGTGGTGTGGTACTCGCGGAAGGCGCGCGGCGAGCATGAGGACCTCGGATCATCGCTGGCGGACGGCGAGACCGCGGTCATGTCGGACCTTAGGGAGGTCGTCGACTTCTTCAAGGAGATGGTTTGCTTGGACTGCTGACCAGCAACGCAGGCCGCCATCCCAACCAGGGCCCCACAAACCAGGTCTTTGCAAGCCACTACTTTGCCAGATCCAGCTAGAGAGCACGAGTCGAGTGGGAAGTTCTTCGTCCCACATCTGCAATTGTCTCGGGTGCGGCGACGTAGTTACTGGTTAGTAGAAATCCCTGTTTACGGGGCCCTGAATCACAAGAGGGAGATGGAGGGGGAATCATCTCACGAATGTAGGAGGATCCAGGCCACCGCGAGGACGAGCAGGAGGAGGGCGAGGCATGGCGCGAGGAGCAAGAGGGGAGGACAGCAGGAGGAGGGCGAGGATGAGAATCTGCAGCAGGAGCACGAGGAGGATCAGAAGCAGGCGGCCGCAGCTGCTGGCCGAGGAGGAAAAGGACTAGGCGGAGGGATGCGATGGGGGGGGAAAGGAGCAGGGAACGGAGCATGATGGCGAGGAGGAAACGCCCCAGCACCAGCAGTAGCAGAAGGCAGCGCAGCCGAAGGAGGAGGCAGAGAAGCGGCAGCAGCGCACGCAGCATCGGGAGCGAGAGGCCGCGCCCGCCCTCGGCAGCGGGAGCACCCGTCTGCCAGCTCCCGCCGGCGGCGGGACAGAACCGGGAGCCGCTGGAAGCGGAGCGCGAGAGGTGCGGGGAAGCGGACTGGGCCATAGGGACTGAGGGACTGGGGGACTGGGCCAGAGGTCCTCGATGGGGGACTGGGCCATGGGGCCTTCCCACGCTGTCGGGCTCCTGGGGCGACCACAGCTCGGCGAGCGACTCCGCGACGGCGGTGCGTGCCCGGGCGACCAGGCTTCCAAAAAGGACGGAATCCAGGACACGTAGTGCGCTCAGGCCACTGTGCTGGAGCCTCGCCCGTCTACGGGCCAACCCATGTGGTTTGACCGGGCCTCTGTCTGTCTGTCTGTAGTTGGCCGTGGGGGTTCGAAGAAGGGCCCTGGGCGGGGCCCAGGGCCCGGTGCCCTCCTGGACCTGCCCGCCTATTGCCAAGAGACGGAGGTTTTTGGCATCATTTGGGCCTGTGCACATTTCTTCGAGGACCATCGAGGAGCATATTGGATCATCTGGCGAGACAAATCGCGCACGAAACCGGTGCATGCACGGGGAATGGACGTCTGAGCGATGGCAAGGGGAGGGAGCTGGAGGGAACAGCAGCGACAGCCCCAGCAGCTGCGGCAGAAGGGCCAGGCGGAGCACGGTCGTTCGCGAAACGCCGCAGATCCGTATCCGCGGCCTCCCGGGCTGAGCCCCCTTGGCCGCGCCCCAACGGACACAGGGCGTTTTCTCGCGGATGCTTCGCGCGGAACGTGGCCGTGCGGCCACGTATCCGCGGGATCGCGCCCCAGAATCCAGACCGCGAGGGTGCGGAAACGGATCTGTTCGCCGCTCGTGACGGGGGCCATGGGGGCGAGGGCGAGGACGAGGGCACGGGTGAGCGACGGCGGCAGCGCCAAGTGAGTGCAGATCCCAGACATTCGGCGTCTCGATTTTTCGAGACACGGGCCCCCCTTCTTTCGACCACTTTCCCGGGACAAGTTTTTTTTCATCCCGCGAGCTTATATGCCTCGATACGCCCATTTTGACACGCGACACGTACGGTGCTCAAAGCGTCCGTGTCAATACGTTGCGTGTTGGCTCAACGTATCGGCCCACGTTTTTGCGATCGTATCGCGTCAGACCTACGTCTTCAGTCTGCGTGTTGAGCTTCGTACCAGTACGGTACGTGCTGCGTGCTGCGCATCGGGGCGGCAAAGGTTCCCGAGTCGTTTTGTTGACGGTCCCGAGGCCCGGGAAGGGCCCCTGAAAGGCCGCAAACGAGGATAAACCGCTGTCCCCGATCGTTTCGAGACGCCAGACCTCTGGGAGAGCAGCCCGCGCGGGCGCCACAGCGGCGCGCGCCCGCGCGCGCGCCCGCGCGCGGCCTAGGATGGCCCGCGCGGCCGGCGGGAGGGGCCCCACAAGTGGGCCCCGCCGCGGCGGCCCGTTCGTACCTTGGCCGGGCGGGGCTAGGACAAGGATCGATCCGTGCCAGAGCGCTCCGGAACGCTCTGAGAGGGCCGCGGCGCCCGAGGCATGCTCCAGACCCGCCCGATCTCAGAGGTCCTCGGTTTGCCCTCAGCGTGGTTTTATCCTCGTCCTGGCTCCGTCTTACCTTGCCGGGGGCTCCCGTTGAGGGTCGAGCGGGGATCAAAACGGCGCACGGCTACGCGCAAGAGTCTTCGAGCCGCATTGGCCCCGGAGCAGGAAGAGGTGGGCGAGGTTCGAGGCATTGGGTTCGCCAAGATATGTTGCCTTTCTTGGCCTCCAGGGGCCGTTTTCAGGCCCTGGCGCCGTCAAAGACAAATTCGGGGTGAGAATTTGCGCAAGATTGGCCCTGGGAGGGGTCAGGGGCACCGATGTTGAGCGGATTTGACTTCGCCTCTCTTCTTGATCGATTTCTTGGGGCCCCGTCCACTTCAGGCCCCCCGGCCATCCCCAGCAAGAGTGACCCTGCGCCACCGAAGTCACCTTTGGAGCGGGCCCGCAGGAATCACCCCGGCAATGGCTCGAGACGGCTTGCGCGCCACAGATCTGGCACCCCCGCTGCCCCCGAGAGCCGCGCACCGAGGGTCACTCGTTGCCAGTGGTCGCTCGTGCCTGCAGCCGAGGCGTGCGTGCGCGCGCAGGTTGTGGAGTGTTCGTGGGCTTTCGGAGGGCGCCGACCCTTCCAGCGCAGGCGTCGTTCCACTGGGTGCGCCGAAGAGGGGGGCCAGGACGAGTCAGGAACGAACGAAGCACGTACACGCACACGAGGACACGTTGGTTTCGACAGTGAATACGCATTGCGCGAACGTGCGTATCACGAGGTTGGTCTTGCGGATTGGGGGGCCGTGCAGTCAACGCGCTTAGTAAGGATGCGCGCCTTCATCTAGGGTGCGCTTGTGTCCTTGCCTCTGCGGCCCGCCCTTTGCCGTTTTCACCGGCGCCATGGGTTATAGGGGGGTACCTTTGCGTCCCTAGGGTTTGGGCCTTACCACCCGTCGTAAGGCACTTCGGCCTCCACGGGTCCTGCGTCCTTGCCACCCGTCCTTCATACACATTTTGACTGTATTCACGTGCGTGGTTGGGCGCGTACGTCCTTTGCTGGCTGCCTAGTGAAGGGGGACGTGCGCATCATGGCGCGGGGCATGTGCGCGGACGAGGAGGAGCCAGGCACGTGCACGGGAATCTGGTCGGTGATCAGCGGATGGCGGCACCCAGGCACACATCGCCTTGAAGCATCTCAGGTCGGAGGTGCTGGTCAGTTTTCGTCCTCTGGAGGCCCCAACCCGCCCCCCTGACCGTTTGGATTCCGCTGGGCCCCATGTTGCAACGAAGGGGGTTGTCGGGGGGTCGGGGTCCGTGGCCTCTCTTCTGCTCAAGTGAAGCCTGGCTCCCGAGCTTGAAAGGTGGGCTGACGCCCGAAGCCGCCACGGCCCTCGGCCGCGATGCGTGCGGCCGTCTACGTGCGGCGGACACTGTTGGTCTTGTGCTTTGCCGCGGCCACCTCAGCCCGAGGCGAGCAGACTGACAGGCCGCCCGACGATGGCCTCATCGCGCGGAGGAAGATCGGGCCAGGGCGCGCCCAGTTCGTGCGCCACGGCGGCCTCGTCTGGACGGTGGCCATACCCGCCGGGAAGACGGGGGAAGAGAGCGTGGCGGAGCAGACCAGGCTTCGGTGGTTCAAAGCTGAGGTCCTGAGGGATGGGGTCCTAAGGACGAGGTGTCTCAAACAATGTAAGTCCACCCTTGGGTCCCTTCCTATCCTTAGGGCCCCACCCCTCAGGACCCCATGTTGTTCCACCACCGAAGGCTAGCGCTGGCGGACCTTGACCAGCGCCTCGCCGCCGCGGGCACCGACAAGACACGGGTGCTCGACGCCGTCGTCTTCCTCAGCGACGTGTCCACCGTTCCCGAGATGGACGAGGTCTGGGTCGGCTGGTGCCCCGAGGGCTGCGAGCCCTCCCTCGACACCCCCCCCATCCGTGCCTTCCGCGCGGCGGGCGCCGCGTTCCTCCCCCGGCCGCTGTCCCCTGGCTCTCGGTGGCTGCCCCTCCGCCGTTGTCCTTTCCCTGCCCCCTGCCTCGCTCGGCTCTTCGGGCCCCGTTTGGTCCCCCTCGTCGCCTGCGCGGCCGTGTATCCGAGTGCTTGACTCGAACCAACATCCAAACAACAGCGGAGGACGCCGCGTAGCGGCGGCCGCCTCCGCGGCCGCAGCTGCGCCCGTGCGGCTGCCTTGGCGGCTGCCGTGGCCGTTGCGCGGCGCCTGCCCCATGGCTCTTGGAAGCGATGGGGCCCTTTGTCCTTCCGTTTTCGTTTTGTCGCTTTTTGTTCCGTTCCGGCGCTGTGCTGTCCAGGCTTTGCCGCCGTTGTTTTTTGGTTCCGGCTCCGGCTTTAATCCCGGAGCCGTTTTGTTCGGTTTCGGCGGGCTGTGTTTGATCGTTTTCATTCTCAAGGTCAAATGTCTGGGAACGGTGAATGGACCCCTTCTTGAAAGCAGCCATCTTGCTTTCGCGCCGAAGACCGCCAGAAACCACCAGAGTCCGCCAGAAACCGCCGAAGACCGTCAGAAGACCACCGACGATCGCCGAAGACCGCCGAAGACCACCCGAGGACCGCCGAAGACGGCCCATGAGCGATGGGCAACAGGGGGTCCATGCTCGAACACTAGCCCAGGGGAGCGCTATCAAAAACAGCCCTGCCGCTTCCAGTCACAAGACGGCTCGCCGCTTGGTCGCCCTCCTCCTCCTCCTCCTCCTCCTCCTCCTCCTCCTCCTCCTCATCCTCCCCGTCGTTTCCAAGAACCGCGCTCCTCCCCCTCTGAGCCGCGCTCCTCCTCCTCCTCCTCCTCCTCCTCCTCCTCCTCCTCCTCCTCCTCCTCCTCCCCTCTGAGCCTCCTCCTCCTCCTCCTCCTCCTCCTCCCTCCCCTCCTCCTCCTCCTCCTCCTCCTCCTCCCCCCTCCCTCCTCCTCCCTCCTCCTCCTCCTCCTCCTCCTCCTCCTCCTCCTCCTCCTCCTCCTCCTCCTCCTCCTCCTCCTCCTCCTCCTCCTCCTCCTCCTCCTCCTCCTCCTCCTCCTCCTCCTCCTCCTCCTCCTCCCCGCCGTTTCCAAGAACCGCGGGGGCGCCCGCCCGCGCGGAAGTGCCGGAGGGGCGGGGGTCGGGCCCCCCGTCCCGCTGCTGCGTGGGCGCTCGCCTCCCGCCGGGGATGAAGGTGGAGATCAAGGTCACAGCTCGGCCACACGCAGGGGCGGCCTCGGGCAAGAGCGGCCTCTGTAGGGCGACGAGATCCCATCCTCCTCCCCTGTTGCTGCTCCTCCTCCTCTCCTCCTCCTCCTCCTCCTCCTCCTCCTCCTCCTCCTCCTCCTCCTCCTCCTCCCCCTCCTCCTCCTTCTCCTCCTCCTCTTCCTCCTCCTCCCCCCTCCTCCTCCTCCCCTCCTCCTCCTCCTCCTCCTCCTCCTCCTCCTCCTCCTCCTCCTCCTCCTCCTCCTCCTCCTCCTCCTCCTCCTCCTCCTCCTCCTCCTCTCCTCCTCCTCTCCTCCTCCTCCTCCTCCTCCTCCTCCTCCTCCGCCTCCTCCTCCTCCTCCTCCTCCTCCTCCTCCTCCTCCTCCTCCTCTCCCTCCGCCGCCCAGTCCTGGCCCATCCTGGGCCCAGACGCGCTGGCCAGGCCAGGGGGCGCACACGTCGCTCATGAGACCATGATGGGCCTGGCCAGCGGCGGTGGATACGTACAGATCTCGTCGCCCTGCTCTGGCGATCGCTGCGCGCGGCGCGGCTCAGCAGAGGCCCGCGTGCTTGGGCCTACACCCCCCCCCTCCACCGCGCGCCCCCGAAAGGTGCGCGTGTTTTGCTCACGCTTAAATTCTGTCGTGTCAGGCCCTGTGCCCAATTCAGACGAAGGGGGCGACCTAATTAGACTTGAGCGTACACTCGAATTTGGATGATGTGGGCGCAGTGAGGGCCACTCCGGCGAGAGCGTTCTCTTACGGCCATGGCTCGGGTCTCTGGCGGCTGCTCGGGGCGATCCCGGCGCCTCCGCAGAGCGCTCTCGGCGAGGCGCAGCTACGTATCATAAGGCACCCCGAGGCGGGGCGAGCCCCAGGAGCCAGGGCGCCGCGCACCATACTCGGACAGCGGATGTCTTGCAGAGGAGCAGGGAGTCACGATAATGATACGTCCTAGGATGTTCAATGGTTTCCAAGACTTCCCCTATTGCCGAACGTTCCACATGAGCTGCAAAAAACGAGGGCCGCTAGATACTCTGGAACTCCTGGGAAATCTCCTGCGCCGAGCTCATCATGACATCATTCTCTTCCCGAATCTGGTTCTTGTCCCACATACGGGTTCCCTGGAAGTCCAGACCCTTTCCCCAAGGGCCGGCTTTTGGGCCCGAGTCGTGTTTGACGGCCACTGGGCCTGGCGAGGGCCCCCAGTGGCCGAAGACGACACGAAGGGCCTCCGCCTTTCCGTCTCCTTGCGGTGGGCGTCTGGGAGCCAGGGCTCCGCGCACCCAAGGGTCACTCCGGCTGGGGGTCGCTCTCGCGGGCGGCCGGACGGCGGCCGCGGGTGGCGAGGGTCGAGGTGCGCCGCCGGGGCTGGCGGCGGGCCTCTTTCTCGGCGTGGCTCTGGGGGTGGGCGCCGCGGTGCTGCTGCGGCCGTAGCCGCGCGGCAGCGGGGGCCACGCTCCGAGGCGGCGGCGGCGCCGGCGGCGGTGCGGAGGGGCTGCCCGTGCGCCCCGCTGCTGCACCTCATCGAGGGTCCTGGCCTCCTTCCCTCGCTTCTCCTCCCTCGTCCTCCCTCCCTCCCCTCCTCCTCCTCCTCCTCCTGCTCCTCCTCCTGCTCCTGCTGCTGATGCTCCTCCTCCTCCTCCTCCTCCTCCTCCTCCTCCTCCTCCTCCTCCTCCTCCTCCTCCTCCTCCTCCTCCTCCCCCTCCTCACAGGGCGCTTCGTCCTCCATTCCTCCCTGCCCCCTCGGAGGAGGAGGAGGATGAGAGAATGCAGCTGCCGTTGCCTCATTCGCCCCGAGATCTGGGCCATGATGCGCCCAGGAGAGGTGCACCTGGTGGTGGTAGCAGTACATGCTGTTTCCTCCCATCCTCGTCGCCGTGGTCGTCGTCGTCGTCGTCGTCGTTTCCCCTCCATCTCGTCGTCGTCGTCGCTTCCCCTCCCCACCTCGTCGTCGTCGTCGTCGCCGTCGTCGCCCTCGCCCTCGCCCTCGCCCTCGCCCTCGCCCTCGCCCTCGCCATCGCCGCCGTTGCCGTCGCCGTCGCCGTCGCCGCCGCCGTCGCCGTCACCTCTAGCGGTACACTTGTGGCTCTTTGTCCTCGGCGTATCTCGTGAGGTCTGCGCCTGCTGCGCTGAGGGGCACTGGCCGAGCCCATGCAGAGCCGCGCCGGGTGCAGAGACCTGCGCTCATCGGCCAGAGGCCCGCTTGGCCCGCCAGCGGAACGTGCAGCATCCTCACCACGGGTAGAACCATCGGGGTGAGGGGCCCCTGTTGGTCTGCGCGCGTCAGGAGCGAAAGAAGGACGTACACGTACATGAATCCACGTTGCTTTCGAGAGTGCGCATTGCGCAAACGCTCGTATCACGTGGCGGGTCTCGCGGATTGTGGGACCGCGTTCATGGATGGGCGCGTACGTCCTTCGTGAGATCCCAAACGTGCCTTCGTACCCTGTGTGATCGACACACCCTCCTTGCCAAGTCGACTTGCCCGTGCCAGGATTCTCAAGAGGGCGCGTTGCGGCCGCAGTGTTCACGGGGCCGCCTGCAGCTGCCGCACCCTTGTTCCGGGTCGCTTTACACGAATGCACCTGTGGGTGTGGGTGTCTTGCTCAAGAGAGACATACCGAAATCAAGAGGTGGATACTGACGGACGAGCAACATAAATACACCCATACCCATAGGAGGGTCGGAGGGAGGAGGACTGGCTATGGGTACGTGTGCGGATTGTCGGACCCTGGGGGAGGCTCCCGTTCGAACGGGGACCCCCATCCGACAACACGCACCCATCGCCCCCCTCCGTCCCCCCTACGGGTATGGGTATGGGTGCGTGTTTTTCGCTCGTCATATTCGACATCTCCCAAGCACACTTACTCTACAGTCGACCCGCATAGTAACGATGAGCGACTTTTCCAAGGTTACCCTTGCATCCTTGCCGCCTCTGTCCAATCTTCGCCGCTTTCGTTGGCCGCGCCCCGCTCGAAAAGCTTCGACATGTGCGTCCACGGCCCTTGCATCCTTGTCGCGCATCCTTACTACAGGGGTTGACTGTATGTGTGCGCGTGCGCCCCGAGGGGCGACGCGCGCGCGCTGAGAATCTGAAAGTCCGTGCTCAGTTGCGGGCGCTTTCTCTGGCCATGCCGCCCGGGCAGCGACGTGCTGCAAGGTGCGTGGGCTGCATGTTCGCCTCAGACGTGCGCCTCCAAGAGGGCGCATCGTACCAGCACGTCCTTCTGTGGTCTGGGGCCGCAGCTGATGTGGCCATCGTCGCCGTCGCTGTCAGCGCCGTCGTCGTTGTCATCGCCGTCGCCGTCATCTTGCCGTGCTTTTTGTTGCATGCCGCTCCCCGCTCGTCGCCTTTCCCGTCCGCCTCCAAGGTGGCGCATCGTACCAGGATGTCCTTCTGTGCCCCATGTTACTGTTCACGCGTCTGTCGAGTCGGTTGTGTCACAGTCGGTTGCGTTCGGTCGGTTCGGTTCGGCCGCTGCTTGTGTCGTTGCTGTGTCGCTGCGCCCTTCTAGGCTGCTTTCGGCCTGTCGATTTCGGTCGGTTTCGGTTTCGCTGTCGGTTCGGTCAGTGGAGGAGCAGGGGGAAAAATGGACACGGACACCAAGAATCGTCGGATCCTAGGAAAGTAGGGAAAACATGGAAAATCTGGGAAGTGGGGGGGAAGGCAAGCATCCATAAAATGCAGAAAAGATTGGGAATCCCTGGACGCGCGTCTCTTTACCTGTGTGTCCCTGGGCCCCTTTGGAGGAGGAGGGGGAGGGGGGAGGCGCGGTGAGGATGCGGCCTGCTCCCCCCTCGGCGCCCCCCCCCGCCCCCCCGCCCGGCCAGGAGCAGAGGCTGGCGCGGGCCCTCGCCGAGGCGGAGGAGCCCAGCCAGAGTGGGCTCGCAGAAACAGGGGGGCGGGACCACGAGGACGACGTGGGACT